GTAAAAGACACCACCGACTGGTATCACATATTGATCTACCCACCCTGAACCTTTTTTCAACCTAATCCAACTTCCCCTAGCATCGGACATCGAGGTGGGTGGTAGCTCTGCCTGTGCAGTACATGCCCAACCCATCTCAGTCGAGTAAGGTCCACAACCTCATCAATTGACTTGAATGTCTTGTCTAGTACCCTTCATCTGACCTCAGTATTGCTCACATGATGATTACACTAAGCGCAAGTAATGCCACGAAGATACCTGTAATTGCTTCATGTCTTCTACTTTTAACGGCCATGTTTTACAGCCGAATAAGAAAACAGGACGGACTGCAGCACAGTATACTCATCCTTTGATAGTCAGTCGAATATTTCGCCAGTTAGTACTACAGATGACGCAAGCTGGTAAATGCCAAATGGACCTTCTATATCTGAGCAAGCAGCCCGTTCGAGGCTGCTGCAACTCCACAAGTAAGTGAAATGGTTGAAACATCCCCCCACTTCACTTACCATCATTAAACTGGGGTCTTCACAGACAGGTGTAGTTAATTACCTACTGCACAAAAGTGCACGTAGCTGCTGGGCTGCATTTTAGTGTATATTCACTATGAGGTTATCGCATTTAATGTGAGTGAAATTGTAATAAATCTCCGTGATATTTGCTTATGATGTAGTAAGCATCTATCTAACACACTGACAACGAATGGTAAGGAAGTAAGCACACCTTTAAAGAACAAAAACAGAAAATTTAAAATATACTTCTCACAGAAACGCTAGGAAAAAGGTATGGAACTCAGGATGCGCATTTCGTCCCACTTGGGGCTCGTCAGCCGGATATTTGAATATACAAATTCTAGAAAAACAGTTATATCTTTATTATTTAACCACACATGATAGTATCAGACATGGTTTATACTAGTGTAAGTCACAGGGTCTTTGAAGTAGAATAATTCCAACGTTTTGCACGGATTCTGGTCCAAGCTTCTTCTTCAAGGGGAGTAATCGAAAATTACTCGGCACTCATTATTTTCATTTAGTATTCTTCCGTAGAAGTAGTACTTCGAAAGGATGAAGACAGAACAAAGAGTGTAACTGCGATCGACATATTTAAAGCAGTTCCACTGAATAATTCATACTAGCTAATTCACGTAATATTGAACAATCGTGTTTACAGTATTGCAGTCAGATTGGTATGGACTCAATCGCAATCAGGAGATAATTAATAGGATTATAGTATTAGTTATAATGGCACAAGACAGAAATAACTAATGAGATTATCACAACACATCCAAGCACTATTCATAACCTGGTCAGATACCATATATGCACGCATTACATGTCTTTATGGACAGTCAGAGAACCATTAAAGACCTAGTAGGACTGAAAAGTTATTTCTTCCTAGTTTGGGACTGCTCAGTAGTACGCATCCATGAAATTGTCACGGATGGAGCCCAGAGGTTTCAGTTCTCATTGCGGGTGAGTTATTATTCAGTCATTGGATTTGTGATATATTGCGGTCATCACCCAAGACATGGCACCAGTGCATGAATCCTCGACTAGCTAGTCTAAGCGTTGTAGGAAGGTGTAGACTACCTGGCTTGGGTCGCTGGGTCAATAGGAATCGCTGGTTGAGGATTCTTAGTGATTTGGCCGAAAATCGGTGACATTGGAGAGGTGTATTCATTCCTTGACGTCTTCTAAAGCTTGACTATTTGCACTAATCTTCAAATCGCTTATTCTGTCTCCACTCTGATATCGCTCTTATTCTATCCACCTATTCTTTATACACTTCTGTGAAGTGGGTTAACTTGAATCGAGGCACTTATTGCGAGGTTCTACGTTGATTATGCCTGTCTATATGGGTGACTAGGGTACTAACTGGTTGCTCAGATCTCCGCAGGTGGAACGATATTTTAGTCCATGATCCACTTGATGATAGTCAAGCACCTAGGTCAATGAACCACAACTCCCCTTGAAAAGATAGGTATACAATTCAATAATCGTCCATAACATACGGTAGCATAGTCATACGCGTGGAAACATTGAAATGATCACGTCATTGTATTAGTACAAACCAACGGTCTTGAGTCGCATTTCCTATCACCGAAATGCCATAAGAAATAGTCGAGTGACAACCCTTTGAAATCCATAGAGTACTGCTAATTATAAAATTATGATTTATGCAGAACAGATTATAGTATAATAAGCAATGCAACTGTCCAGTCTTGAATGAGCAACGTTGATCGAAGTCAATCCATCAAGTTTTGCAGTGTAGTCACCTAGCCAGGTAGCTAACGACATTGCGATACACTGTATTTTAATATTCAGGAGATGCACTCAATAACCTTGTTCACATCTGTTCAGTAGGTAATGAGTCACACATCCACTGTATGAGGGCTAATAATACTACTACTTGGGTAGATGGAGGTGTTCGAGTCCATCACCCACTGGTTAAAAGATAGCTCTCTAAACCAATGACTCACAGCTCCGTATGCTGTAAACTAGTCGTTAATCACCGAGAAGCTCTGAATAGCTTAAAGATAAAGTCTCTGGCTTCTTTGCTGAATGACGTCAGTTCGAATCTCTGAAGGAAGATGGGTTATATCAAATTTTAAATATATCTTGCTCATAAGTGTCAATGAACACGAGAACCTGGGTTCAGGGCTTGCTGTTCATTGAGTTTCATAAATTTAGATATAACTTAACCGAATGTTCTATACACTTTGTCGCATCGTTCGGAAAGATGGAAAATGATGAATACAAGGAAGTGTGTAAAGGTTGATGGTGCAAAAAAGACGGGGAAGAACATACGTTAGAACAATGTGGGGAGGTAGCATCAATGTTGGGGAGTGTAGATGAAAAACACACCTATCATGTTCATAGTTAGCTGTTATCTGAGGTAGAGCTTTAGTTGGCAAACGTACCAATGTTATACTAGATGTCGTTATCAGTGCAGTCGAGCTTCAGAAAGCAGTGAAAGGAAAATGGTTGTGCATGGAAGTTCAGAATGTGCTACTTTGCCTGATTTCACCTTGAGAGGTTGTTTAGTGAGTGTCTGGATATGCATTTAACCCAACTGATTGATTTCTTGCCTCTGGTTTTCTCAGGGGGGGGGTGTGTAACGATGAGAAAGGCTCGTATATTCCGCCTATTTTGATATGGGGATTTATTGCTAATTTTGCTCGGGCTGTTTTCGACTCTACACGTTCCAGAATTCTGAAGTTCTTTCAGGTGATAGTGTGGTTGTCACAGTGTCATGGCGGTTAACAGTTAACCTGTATTCATGAAGGCGTTCTAACAATGGTCTACATGATCGCGTTTACGAAGTGATGCCTATAATTATTACAATTGATTTTGCAGATAACGTTGATCATTTCCTCCTAGTTAAATGAGTCTTTCGGTTTGCATGAAACATGTGTTGCAGTGATTTTGTTCATGTATATGACACCGAGATTCCAAGTAGATGATGCGGCAATCTGGCCATTGTCCGAAAGATGTTCTTGATGTATGAGAGGATAGTTCTTTTGTTAAATTTCTGTGGTAGATTTTGATTTTATTCGTTTGGAAAGATGTCCCCTAATGAAATAATTTGGGTAGGTGTTGAGCCAGAAGACTCCTGTTGTAATGCGATGTATGTTTGCTTGTCACATAGCTTTGCTTGTGCAACAACGGGTAGCTGACGTTAAGATTTAGCACCCCAATTTGTATGAATTGTTTTCTTGTACACTTGAATTTCAAGTCTTGTACTCAAAATATCTCTAGGAACGCCAATAGTCCTTTATCCTCCTCTTCATTCGTAACATTATTGACTAGTTTTTAAGTGAATCCAATGTCGTTTTATAAAGGATGAAGAATATCATAGAAAAGCAAAAGGAAGTTACCTCGACGACTCATTTTCATAACTGTACGTTTGCAAATACATACGTAAAACGACAGAATGTTTCAGATGAATGTACTATTCACGTATTGCAACCACGGTTTTGTCTCGACAATTGGCAAAATTATCAACAGCATTCACCTCTTTGTACGACTTATACATTCGTTTCAATAAACACTTCTTTTGAATATACACAGTTAAAAATGGTGTACAGCAATGACTTATTGGTTTAAGGGAGCTATCTTTCAACCGATAAGTTACCGGTTTGAACACAGCTGCAGTTACTAAGGTTTGGGCACTTAGACAGTAGCATCATTAGCCCTCACACAATAAGTGTGTGGCCCTTTGCCTACTGTACGAATGTCACAAGATTTCCGAGTGAATTTCAGATTTTTTTTCTGAAGTAGACAGTGTCGATGATCGGCGTAATGCTTTTTCATGACTCCTACAGTATACTCTTTGGAGTGCTGAGAAACTCAAGTTTTAAAGCACCATTAATTTGTCTAATAGCCTAATGAATTGGTTAACCTGTATTGTTTCATCCACTGTTCCTTACTCAAAATCTGTACCAAGAAAGAAATGCTGACAATTAATTGATATTAAATGTAAATGGATTAGAGAATGGAATTTTTTACAGTGAACTACAACTCAAAATAAACATCATTCATCTACTCAGGAAAAAAAGATTAAGTTTTTGTTTCAAACAATTCATAGACTGAAAAGTTCACAATCACATACACCACAATACTTGTGAGTAAGGAAAATGAAATCATGCACGAAAATAACTGACCAGAGTAGTCAACCATATAATTGAGACATATTCCAAGTTATCTCATATACAATCTGACTGTTTGCTTCCAGTTCCAAGAGCAGATATAAAAAAGACTACTAACCCATAATAGATGCATTATCATTAAAAGTATCTTTAAGGTGATTACTAATTACAGTCGTCTTTATGGCTTAGATGAGAGATTCAAAGCCTTTAAAGGGATGGATACAAAATGCAACTAGTGAGAATCTAAGTATTTAAACTCACCATTAAATATACAAGTAAAAATTTAAGTAAATAAATTGTTACTAAGGTTAATTTTAACATAATTATTGAAAAGTAGAAACATATAACTCACCTATTACAACAAAATAAAGAGAACATGTGGAAGACAGAAGATGCAAGGAAGAGTGAAACGATGGCTAAACCATAGACAATTGCAGCTATTGACTCAGAATATGTATCTGCTTTTGAATATAATCTAACCATGCCAGCAATACCAAGTGGAACACAAGGAAGATGTGAAAGGCAGTTGGCCCATTGTTCAACTGTAGTTGGACAATATGCTTTGCCTGGTGGAGCTGGAGCATTCTTCCACCTAAAACCAAGTTAAAGAAAAAAGAATCTCAGTCAAAAGATTATCGAATATAATAAAAAGATTTACACGAAGAGATAAATGCTTAAATGTATGCTAGTAGATAGGTTATCTTTTCAGATAAAGATTTTTTGTTGTAGTGCGATAGGAAATTAATCAAACGAAAATCAACACATAAACCTACTGACATAATCAGTTCACTCAGAAGCAGATTATTCAATATGTTCGAACCGCTCTTTATTAAAACCTTTACGTTTCTAGAGTTTATTGGTGGAATAATCAAGTAAAGCCGTGGACATAGGTCCAGGAATTCCTGCCAATCCCCTCCGATTAATTAATATCCATCAGTCTACCGCAATGGTAAGCCTCCTAGCTTGGCGGCTATATTGTAAAAGGATCGATAGGATCCGGTTAGCACTCAGGATAAGACAACATGAGATCGGTTGCTCTCCAGTGGATCAATCAATGTATTTATACAGTACTACAGGAAGTCAGTCATGTTCCGAATACCTAAGTTGAAACGTCGCTAACTGCAACATTGGGCAATGCGGATTTGAATCTCAAGCGGGACATCAGTTCCCTCAAGGTTGTAGATAAGGCTTACTGAAGAGTGTCGAAAAGCATAAAACCTAGGATATATATATATATATATATATATATATATATATATATATATGCTGAGAACATCTCTAGCTGCTTTTTCGGTAGGCATTAACATACTTTTTTATTGTATTTTTCCTACTCTTGTTATTTTAAGTTCCTGGCATTGCATTTTTGCTGTACCAGTGCTGATGTCTTTAAACTCTCATAATCAAGACTTTCGAATATAGGCTTCATGGGTACCATTTATCTTCCTGTCTTCTTTTAAGTTCAATGGGCCGCAATTTTGGTTTGCCCGTCTAGAACATTTCTGCATGGTCAACCAACGGTTAGACACTAAAAAGCTGCAGATAGCAAAACAGGAATTTGATAAACTTCTAAAGTTGGAAGTTATACGCCCTTTCAAGAGCCTATGATCATCATCCCTGCATACGGTACCTAGAAAATATCAGGTGAAATACGACCTTGCGGTGGTTATCGAGTGTTGAATAAGCGTACGGTCCCTGATAGGTATCCAATTCCTCACATACATGATTTTATGGACTCTATGACAAAAGTAAATATTCTTTCCAAGATTGACCTCATGCGAGCTTACTACCACATTCCTGTGGAACCCAATGATGTTCCTAAGACGGCCATCACTACCCCATTCGGATTATTCGAATTTATTCGTATGCCGTTTGGTTTGACAAATGTTGCTCAAACATTCCAAAGATTTATAGATCAGGTACTTCGTGGCTTACCTTTCGTCAGTGCATACATAGATGACTTAATAGTAGCTACCGCATCTGAAACAGAACACCTGCAACATCTGAGGACGCTTTTCGAATGACTGTAGGAATATGGCATTACAATCAATCCGCAAAAGTGCGAGTTTGGCAAAGAATCCCTAAAGTTTTTGGGTCACACTGATGATGTCAGCGGTGTTAAACCGGTTCCGCAAGTAGATGCAATTCGCGAATATCCTGTTCCAGACTCGTTTCGAAAGCTGCGAAGATTTCCGAGGTTAGTAAACTTCTATCGACGTTCCATTATGGTTTGTTTATTAGAAATATCACACAGTGAAGCAGTAGCATTTACTGGATAACGTTTCGGACACAATTTATTGTCCATATTAATATCAGGTAACTCCACAACTTCAAGACAGACTTTGTACATTCCTAATTTTCTCTCCTTTTCTGTGATGACAAGAGTAGTAGAATTTTCCATATATCTGGGACAGGTGCAGAATCATTTTCACTGCATGTGTTTGGTGTTGATTCGATAAAAAAGATTCGGTTATCAATCTCTTCCTCCACCCAACTAAGTTAGTTTTTCTATCGATGTTTCATACCTAAATGTGCTGAAGTAGCCCAACCGCTGACAGATTTGTTACAAGGATGAGCTACAGTGTTTCACATGACCCAAGCGGCCCATGATGATTTTGGAAAACCTAAGCTGGCTCTAAGTTCCGAAAATCTTCTCTCTCGTTGTGATTCAGAAGCACCACTAGTAATCATGACAGACGCTTCAAATGTTGCGGTAAGCGCAGTACTACAACAGCTTGTCCACGGTCAGTGGGAACCATTATCTTTCTACTTGAAACGGCTTTATGCTTCTCAATCGCGATACAGTACATTCGGTAGAGTTACTGGCGATTTACTTAGCTATCAAGCATTTCAGATATATGCTCGAAGGGTACGTATTTGTGGTATTTACCGACCATAAGCCACTCACAAAAGCAATTGACCCAAACCATGACAACTACTTGCCGCGAAAAATCAGACATTGAGAATTCATCTCACAATTCACTTCAGATATAAGGTATGTCAAAGGCAGCAAAAATGAGGCAGCTGATGCTTTGTCTGGTATGTACTTAAACGTCTTAGAACGTGACCATATTGACCTAGCAAAAATGGCGAAGTTGCAGGCGACGGATGAGGACTTAAAACACTTGAAAGGCAATTTGAACACCTCATTACGTCCTGAAGAAGTGGTGCTAGATGCCTCTTCATCCATCACTTGTGATATCATCATCATCAGTATCAACATAGGACCAGGCAATACTGCGTAACGGTCCGAATTGCCACAGCTCATATCATCACATCAAAAAAAGCAGTGAAGTGTGAGATGAAAAAAAGAAAATTCAGTCAGAAGAAATACTAAGTACCAGAAGGAAGAAAGGAAGAATGAGAAAATGGTGAGATTCGGTATAGTGTCAAGATGAAGATAATGTGTGTATACATCTGCGTCAATGACATCGACTCTGAACCGTATCACCTATAATCTCCAACTACTGGTTTCTCTTGTCCCACGGACCACAACCACCCAGTCTGCATAGCCCCACATGGCTCAAACCAACAGTCACAGACTTCATGCATTGGTGCCATGATTTAGTCTGGCCACCTCAGGCCTTCATCCACCCTGGACCTACTTCGGCCAACATCGTGTGACGAGGCAATCACTGACTAGGCATACGTAACACGTGTCCTAACCATCTCAGTGATAAAGGTTCACAACCTCGTCAACCGACTTACCTCTACTCCCTAAAACTCTACGCCTGACTTCTGAGTTACTCATGTGGTGACACCACGGAATACGGCCTATACTTCGAAGGTAACGGTGGTCAAACACCTGAAGCCTTTTCATGTCTTCCACCTTCAATGGCCATGTTTCACAGCCATACAGTATAACAGACCGGACTGCTGTGCAGTACACGCAACCCTTTATAGACAATCGGACATCGCGGCGGCGACATAGATAGCGTAAATTGGCAAAGCCAACCAAGCTTTTTGTATCCGTGCAGAGATTTCATCGTTCACCGAGCCACCAGGGCTCACACTACTTCCCACGTAAGTGAAGTGGTCGACACACTCAACTACTTCACTATCTATTGTTTGCCGTGGCACCGCTGAAGACCAATCCTGGAGCAAAAATTTGCATTTGGGTGGTGAGAACCGCATCCCAAACATTCTCAAATTGCCACTCAAAGTGCTCAGAAGACTCTGCATTTTGTCAGTGTCTTCACCTAACAGGACTATGTCATCTGCATATTCTAGGTCTAACGGAAATCCTCCTGTGATTAGGTCAACCTCTGTATAGTCAGGTGACGAGAGGGAGGTCTCCATAAGAATATCTATGGTAAAATTGAATAAGAATGGAGACAGTGGGCACCCTTGACGGACACCACTCGATGAGCACAGCTCTAGATATCTCACCATGGGCTTTAACACGCCCACCTGCGATGTATCCGAGAATAAACCACGTCCGTTTGTGCCTTTGTCAATGAGACGATTAGTCTTCTCTAAGATGCATGTCATTTCATATCCTGGTATTCGAGCTATGGTGAAGTTAGTTACTGATCGATACATCTGGCCGAAGATGAATCGAGATCTTTGACAGTGGTCCAGAGCTTGTTTGACGTGCCAGCGATCAGAAGTGCAGAGACATATTCTTTCGCCTACCGGAAGACTTTCCGCACCAGATGGCAGATTTGACCATATACACGTTGACATCGTTGGACCACTACCCCCGTCAAATGGTTCCAGCTACATTTTAACATCTGTAGACAGATTTACGAGATGGCCAGTTGCAATACCTCTGCAGGATATATCTGCCAAAACAGTAATGAGAAATATCATCCAACACTGGATTTCTAACTTTGGTGTCCCGAGTGTCATCACCACAGACAGAGGTGCCCAGTTCGAGAGTAGTCTATTTCAACAATTAACCGAACTTCTCGGCATCAAGCGCATAAGAACCACTGCATCCAATGGTATTGTTGAAAGGTTCCATCGACAACTAAAAGCAGCACTGATGGCAGTAAAGACTAACGACAAGTGGAGTGACAAATTACCACTAGTACTCCCTGGTATACGTTCGAGTGTCAAGCAGGACATTGGCTGCTGTACTACTGAGTTAGTCTATAGAACTACTTTGCGATTGCCAGGAGAGTATTTTAACCTAGCAACAGACGTTCCACCGAACTTGACTGACTATGTGCGAAAACTACGGCAACACATGAACACACTACGACCTCAGCCCCCACGATACCGAGACAACTAAGTGTACGTACCTGAGCGCATCTTAAACTACACTCACTTTTTTGTCCGACACGACGGCGTACTTAAACCCTTACAACTCCCGTATGAAGAACCTTTCAAAGTAGTAAGTAAATCAGACAAAGTTGTCACGGTTGAACGCTCCGACGACAGAATCAAGCCAGGGTTTGTGGGACCAGACGTCACGGATACAAAGTCTGAATCCACAGTGAAGCAACCGGAAACCACAGTCATAACGGAAACAACGGTGTCGAAATCACCCATAACTAGCGACAGTAGCAGAACCACAGGGTTCAGAAGAAGAGTCCGTTGGCCACGTTACTTTCAGACAATTTACCTATAATAAAACCAATTCCTTAGTAACATTATTACCACTGTTTGTCCATTGCCTTGTTGAAAACATGATCGCACTATTTTGTCAGACTTTTGGGCATGCACAAAAAAAACACTTTCGTCTGACACCGCGGACTTCCGAATCTTTTATTTCTTAACAATGTTCCGGGCATTACGATTTTGATATAAGTGAAAAACTTGGGCACTGTGGTAGAATATAGTTCCATATTAGATTTGTTTATTTGATATAAAGCGCACAGTGATACAGTATTATTTAATTGATTACGTTTCGAGCATAAATTATTGCTCATAATCATATCACATTGATATGATTATGAGCAATAATTTATGCTCGAAACGTAATCAATTAAATAATACTGTATCACTGTGCGCTTTATATCAAATAAACAAATCTAATATGGAACTTCATTACGATTTTGGTTTTTTTTTATCTCTAGATACATTATTACTTCAGTAAATTTATTTTAGTGCTTAGACTACCATACACTTCATTTTTATATAAGTACTCTTCTAATCAGTTTTCATCCTGATAATAGATATCCTTGATATTCCTTCTGTTTTAAATATCTTCCGAATGAATTTATCTTTATCAGATAACATTTTATATCGAACACAGATATTCCTTCTTATATCTGTATTCTGGGGAGGGACTTATGTGGCATTTTATTTCACAGTATTGTGGTGATATATTTAACAACTTATAATTGAACATTTTGTTTGGTTGTACAGATTCAGAAATTTTTGCCTGCCCGTTGACCAACACAATATCCTGATATATACTTCGCGTTAACTCCTGATACTTACGCTGTGTGACGCAGGTGGATCAGCAGTGTCGGGAATAATAAACAGGCGATAGTGTATCCGGACGCGTATATAAACTTGGAGTCATTTCAGAGCCTGACAAAGACCATTGTTTAATTGAACTGGAATGTACAGAACTATCATTCTTTCTAGCATACCTTTCCATGAATCTGACAATGTTCTGGCATTTCTTGGAGATTAAGAAAGTTACACCACGCAATTCGATAAGGAATGAACGTTGATGACTCTCCTTGTGGATGGTTATTACAGTAGCGCACATCAGCCTCAAATATTAACCTCTACTCAACGCTAAATGGCAGACAACAAGGCTTGGTGATCACATGCATATAAGATGAAAACAGTTGACTGCAACAACAAATGAGGGATAAAGCACCTTACCCATGCCACTCCCTTTAGGTGGTGTGGCAGACATGATGCTAAGTCTATCAACAACCCGGAGCGTTGGACAACGCTTTTTGAGCATAACTCAGATGTCTTACTACATCAGTGACCCAGAAGTCAGTAACGTTTCTTCTTCAAAACGTTTGCATAGACCCATAAAAAGGCCAAAGGTCAGGAAGAAATCCAATGATGAAAATGTCAAGATATAACCAGCTCGGTCAAAGATTTTCAGCTTTTTTTTCAAAGATAGTACTTTTCATAGTGTTACGGTGACTGTGAGAGGACAGGCGCTGTTCATACAATCTAGAAGAGGGTTTACACCTTCACTTGCATATTGCTATACTGGTCGATGGTCATCTAATACACTTGTGATCAACGGTGACGGACTAAAAAATCTACAGTTGTTGAACGTGTTTAACAACTTATATTGGTACAATATTAAGGACAGAGAAGTTTCTTTTTAGCGTGATAATTTCCTCCATGAAGTTTGGTATTACGCCTAGAAATTGAAAAGAAACAAGAAAACAATATGCAGGCATATTCATTCATTCGAATAATAACCTACACTTTTAAGGTTCGCTAAAGGCCAAAGAACAAAACTTCACGTAGATACTGTGATGACTTTCTTCTGATTAATCAAAAAAAGGAACATGTACTCATTTGCCTCATGTCAGACCTCGGCATAATCTAGCAGCTTAGTGGAGAAACTACGTACGTACGTATACGTACAGCGTATTCATAGGACACTCCAGTGATAATAAACCGTTGAAAAAGTACTTAACATACTTAAAGTAATTATAAGCACACATCAGGTTCATAAAATAAAGTGATACCTTAAATTCCGCCCCATTTTAGATAATGCAAACTAGAGTGTGCGAACATTTCTTAACAACTTCGTAATGTGCACTGCAATCAGGTGACCTTGAAACTGAAGTATTCTAACAACACTCAAACTTCAGACTTCATATTGTAGAATTAGTGAACGGCGGTTCCTTGGGTTCTACGTCTGTCTTACTGGAATATGTTCTGAGTTTGGAATGATCACGATTATCTTCTCGGTTCTGAAAAAACTGAAAGGATAGAGATACGATTATTAGTTAATCTGGTCGCAATGTAGTATTACTGCATCTGATCTGGGGAAAGCTTCTCGAGTACAGCCCATCGGTAACACAGGACCCGGCGTTTACGTCTAACCTCCTTTTAAAAGTATCAGGGGATGGGGCTGTAACACCTGCTGAAGGGAGGGAGTTCCACGGTTCACAGACTCTAACTGCAAATGAGTTAGCACGGATCTTCGTACGTGTTCTCTCGTGCTCTATTCTTAACGGGTGACCCGTCAAGTCACGTTTCTGGCTAAAGCTTAGAAAGGGTCTATAAGGATGGAGGGTATTATGGGCGATACGGTACATCATGATCATATCCTCTCCGATCCTCCGGTTCTGTGCTGGGTGCAGCTGAAGAGCAACTAAGCAGTCTGGGTACGGCTTGTGCCGTAGCCCAATCACTTTCTTTGTAGCTCTTCTCTGTACCCGTTCTAGGATGGCGATGTCGTTTTTCAAGTATAGGGACATCACAAGCGGATTTTTTTCTAGACGAGGACGAATGTACAGAGCATACACCGTGGTGAAAAGAGGAGTTCGACCCCCCAAAATCCGCGATGGAAATCTCAGGATTCCATAAGCCCTATTGGCTGCAAAGCGACAGTGGACTGAGGCTCCTAGTGTGCCGTTCGGTGTAACTCCTAGATCTTGTTTTGTGTTAGAGTGACATATTCATTCCACCCGTAGAGTAAGAACTGGGACTGCCTTTATTTTTATCATTCAACGACGTGTTGGAACCAACTGTTTTCTTCCGCAGAGCCATCCTGTCGAAAATTTTTTCAGGGGGCCGTGGTTTAAGGAAAATCGATGCCTAATCTGTGACTACTTGAAAAACTGTGCCGCAGACTTCGTAAAACGTCTGCCCAGTGTTGCGAAACGGACTGGCTATTTCATCATATACGAGAGTTTATTATGCTTGAAGCTGCTACTATATTTTGATAGCTACCTTCGGGTTTATCTGCAGTGTGCTTATTCCCTTTTTACTGGTTAATTCATGAAGTTATCAGACTTACTACCTAACTTGCAGTAAGAGTTTAGTCCTTGGCCCCCTCTGTGGACACCCTGGTGTTTGTACCACTACTGAGGACATGGTTATCTTTCACCGTTTCCGATGGCTGTAGAACCATCACCCCACAATCTTGTGGGTCGAAGGTTGGGCCACTCTTTGGTATGTAACACTTCAAATCCGTGCGCTCACGCCTCTCTCTGAGAGTTTGCAGCCAAAGCAACTCACTGATTGGCAAGATTGCTATGTAACGGAAAAATGATCTGAAAATCCCTCCCGATCACCCTTATTTGATTGTATTGACATTTATTTTAACATTTTTACCCTCGTTATGGATGGTGTACCTTTGACCCTCGCCGGTGTAATGTTATTTGCTTGTTTAACTGTCTTATTTGACTTTACACTCGGTATTTGCCTTTGTATGTTTGAGACTTATTATGAGTGTTTCACTTTCCTATTATGTGACGCTGGACTGTTGATAAGGTGATGTTGTTTTACTGCGCACGACATTTTGTTTTGGTTCAACTTACGGTTGTGCAGTGATTTGACTGTTTGTCTTTTGACTGTCTACTGGGAACGTTTGTTTGTTGATTTGATTCCTGTAGGCAGAGTTTTGATCCCTTTTGCCGGGAATATTCCTATTGACCGACAGGTATTTAACAGTTGTATTTTTTAACCAGTTTTTACCGTGTAGTACGTATTTGTACCCGAGAACGTTTTGGACTGTATAGTTACCCAACGGCACTGTTGAGGTATTTTTGTAATTTGACATAACTTATTGTTGCTTTGATAGTACCACAGATTTTGTTACGAATCTACTATTGAATTACTACAAACCGTGTTTTGATATTTCGATCCAACCTTTGACTGTGCGTCACTCGCGGAAGTTAGGAAGCTATACAGTAGAACGCAGGAACTAGTCAGATTCACGTCAGTTGGCACCGCCTAGCTATTTCCCGCGTTCAGGCCAAGATTATTGGATTCTGGCCGCTACAGTACTCAACAACCCGTCACTGCTGTACCTGGCAATCGCAAGGTGTTCCTTGAGTCAATTCCGGACGGGGAAGGTGACATGTCCATGGATCCGACCTCAGATACCAAGCAAGTCCCTCTTGATGTTATTTCATGCCGTGGCTCTGATAATGGTACAGTTATTGACTATAGTAAGACTAGTCCTTGTAGGACCTCTGCTCAGTTGAAGGTACGACAGTTGGATGAAAGGCAAGAGTTGGAACTTCGTGAATTCAAGGCTAAACAAAGACAGGAAAGGTTGCGTCTGCATAAAGAACTCAACTTAGATGTGAATGGGGGTTTAGGTGATACCTTTTCCTTGGATGATGATATAAAGTGTCACAAATCAGTTTGTCTTGGCATTGACCCTCATAGCAGTTCTGATCGTGAAACGACTAGCCAGGCGAGCAGCGCAGAAAACAAAGGGGTTGCCGCTACGTTGCCTTGTGTCAATGTTGGCCATGAGTTGCCGAAAGTAGAATTAAGCAGCTTTGACGGACATCCAGCCAAATATTGGAAGTTTATGAGGCAGTTTGAGCTCTACGTTGTCTCTAAGGTTGATGATGATGGACAGAGGCTGTTATACTTGTTACATTACTGTAAAGGTAAGGCCAGGGAGGCTATAGAGGAATGCATTATGTTACCACCATCTGCTGGTTATCGTAGGGCTCGGGATATACTCAACGTTTGTTTGGAAGGACTCATGAAGTCAGCCGGGCCTTACTACAGGATCTGATGGAATGCTCGAACATAGAACAAAACGATGCTGAGGCAATGTCGAGGTTAGCTATAAAAATGGAAAACTGCGCTATAGCCCTAGAGCAAATGGACTATACTGCGGACCTTAACTCCTTGAGAACTTTAGAAGGTATAGTAAAGAAATTGCCCCGTGTGTTACAGATGAAATGGGCGGAGACTGTCGAAAAGCTAACTGAAACCGAACGAGAACCTACCTTCGCAGAGTTAACGCAGTTTGTGTCAGCACGTGCGAGCATTTTGCTAAGTAGGTTTGGACAGCTGGCAACAAGCAGTCGACGACCAGATAGTAAAATAGCATGTTCCACGCAGCAGCTAGTACCCGTTGGGGGAGTCCTGAAACCTTCATGTATATTTTGTGGAGGGAACCATGTAGTCACAAAATGTACCACATTTCTGTCGTTACCGGTGGATGAGAGATGGTCGAAGGCTAAAGAAACAGGTTGTTGTTTTTCATGTCTTAAAAGGGGCCACAGGTCCGTAGAATGTAAAATTCACAGGGTGTGCAGTGTAGAAGGTTGTAAAGCATACCATCACCCTCTGTTACACAAGAAGACCCACCACGCCGTAGGCGAACAACCGGAGAAAGGTAGTTGTGGATGCACCGAGTCTCTCAGAGAAAGCGTGTGTTTGGGCCTACTCCCGGTACGTGTAAAGCACGGTAATAAAGAGGTTTACGGTTATGCTATCTTGGACAATGGCTCTGATACAACTTTGATCACGAAAATGTTTTGCAACTTCTAGGATTGTCGACTGACGGCACAAAGACTATCATCAAAACTGTTAGTGGAAGTAGATTGGCGGACTCAGTCAGCAAGCCTTTCGAAGTTTATTCACTAGACGGAAACGAATGCATACTTATAGATCGAGCAGTTGTGGCAAGAGATCTCCCAGTACGGAGACCTAAAGGGTCGATGCGAGAAAGTATTAAAAGGTGGCCGCATCTGACTGACGTACCCTGGACAGAGGTGGAAGACGGGGAGGTATTGCTGCTCATCGGTTGCGATGTACCTGAGGCTCACTGGGTTCTAGATCAGAAGTTAGGGGGCAGAAAGAGCCCATATGCTGTGAGATCATTGTTGGGCTGGGTCGTGTTCGGTCCGACAAGCTTTCGTGAGCACAGGGAGAGGGTTGTGAATTGTATGTCTCGGTCAGATCTATTAGTCGATCAATGGAAGAAAATTTACGATTATGAGTTCAGCGATTTGTACTCGGGAGATAAGTCGTTATCTCTCGATGACCTAGCCGCTGTAAACATAGTGCAGCGAGGTACTTATTGGGATAATGGACATTTCGTTGTCCCCTTGCCCTGGAAAATGGAGTCCAAGAGAGTATACGGTGGATGCGAAGTAGCCAGGCGACGTTTGGAGAGTTTGAAACGCAGACTAATATCCTCTGAAAGCCTTCGCGAAAGCTACACTAGCGCCATGGAAGAGACCATCAGAAAGGGATATGCAGCAGTAGCTCCTGAGCCCCAGCTTGATCCTAGCTACCGCCCACGATGGTATTTGCCGCATCATGCCGTATTTAACCCCAAGAAACCGGGGAAGGTAAGAGTTGTGCTGGACTGCGCTGCCAAACTGTCCGGAACTTCTTTAAATGACTTCCTGTATCAGGGACCAGACACGACAGCGAACTTGGTTGGAATATTATTGCGTTTTCGCAAAGAACTGATTGCCCTGACGTCCGATGTGGAAGAAATGTTTATGCAGGTGAAAGTCCCAGAGTTTGACCGAGGTGCTCTGCGGTTCCTATGGTGGCCTCAGGGTGATTTCTCGAAGGAACCTATTGAATATCAAATGACGTCACACCCATTCGGTGCAGTGTCCTCACCGTTTTGTGCGTATTTTGCAATGGCCAAGACTGCCGAGACGTATGCCAACGATTATGATAGCTATGTGGTGGAAGCAGTGAAGCATAACTTTTATGTTGATGATTGCCTAGTGTCCTTTGCAAGCCCAGGTGAGGCAAAAACGTTCGTAAAACAGTCCACTGAGTTGTTGTTACGTGGTGGCTTTAAATTGAAGAAGTGGGTGACTAATTC